GAAGAGAAGAAGATGGAAAGAGAAGAGAAGGGAAGAGGGAAGAGAAGAGAAAGAAGAAGATGGAAAGAGAAGAGAAGGGAAGAGGGAAGAGAAGAGAAGAGAAGAGAAGAGAAGAGAAGAGAAGAGAGAAGATGGAAAGGGAAGAGGGAAGAGAAGAGAAGAGAAAGAAGAAGATGGAAAGAGAAGAGAAGGGAAGAGGGAAGAGAAGAGAAGAGAAGAGAAGAGAGAAGATGGAAATGGAAGGGAAGGGAAGGGAAGGGAAGGGAAGGGAAGGGAAGAGAAGAGAAGAGAAGAGAAGAGAAGAGAAGAGAAGAGAAGAGAAGAGAAGAGAAGAAGAGGGATTCTTTATTGGCCAATTCTAAATTTGTGTCCGGTGCCAAAGCTCACCGTGTACACACAAACAGCAAAATGATAGGTCATCGGTGATAAATCATAGCTACAATCATTAATCGTTAACTTACAAACAACCATTGATAAACCATAAGAAACCAATAGGAAAAGATAGCAGGAAAAACAAAATGAGGAAAAAATGAGAAACGAGAGTGCTGTGGATTCTACGTGTTCAGCAAAGTGATGGCACGGGGCGGGGCGGGGCGGGGGGGACTATCTTTACGTCTGGTTGTTTTGGCGTGCCAATAAAGTGTTCATTTAAAAAAAGAGACAACAGGAATTTCAACAGCCTGCAAGCCCAATAGCTCAAAGAAAAAACACAACAGCCATTCCCGAGCATCACCTGGTGTGACATTTCTCCCTTCAACCATTGCAGAGGGGAAAGCCTTAGTTCTACCACCTCCAGGCAACTTAATCATCATTACAGCCAGCGATGTTACATGTAATCTGTGAGAATGAGAGGAATGTCAGGTTTGTCCTGGCCACGTCCCCCTGGCTGATGGGTGACCCAACGAGACAACAAGGCAATCTCCGTTGCAAAACACACTGTAAATCAGGCTGATAAGGCATCTAAGAGCTTCAGTAAAAATAACTTAAGATCTCCGGGATACTTGTTCGTCTTTTAAGTTGCCACCGGACCCCTTGTACTTTTATCCACGACAAATTAACGTTGCGAGCCCTGTGGCAATAGTAGATCTCCTAGCCTACATCTTAAAAGCCAGATCTGTCTTTTATTGATCTTCAAGAAGTAGCCCGGGGATTTTTTCCAGCTGAAACGTGGAATAAAAATGTCCTAGGCAGGTATTATAAGAAACGGTGGTGTAGATCACATTTCACGACACACACACACACTCCCAAAAATAGGACCGGTCCTTCACACACATCCAAAAGAGATTTACGGATACTAAATTCGAATCAAGATGTATTGGGACGATCGAAGATCAATCGGATTCCATGACTAATTACGCCAAAAGCTACAAATAATTTCAGGAACTGAACCTGCTCAGAATTGACAACACAACTTTCAAGCGTCAACTGATTGAGGTAAAGCAATGGGCATTTCCAGACACAGATATTCGCCACTCCTGCAAAGACTCATATTTATTTATTTCTGAGAAAGATTTTTAAATCCCCCTGTCTGAAGTTTCTGGGCAGCACATAACCCGAGTTGATACACAGAAGACATTGGGCTTCCAGAAGTGAATTTATTGCCACTAAGACAGGCATGCTTTAGGTGAATTTCTGCGTCTATCTCATAACTTTGTATCTGCGGATTCCAAAATTCAATGACTCCAATTCCGTCTGAACGTTGAGAACATGTTCCTCAAAGAACGGCCACCTCAAAGACCAAAGCAGAGAGAAGACCATCGCCGAGAAGACTAAAATACACCTGGACCAGCGTTGGCTTTGCTTACCTCAAATATGTTGGATGTCTCGTTAGGATACGGATGGGAGATGATTTCCGATTGGTCGTTGTACCACTTAAGCCCTCCCAGGAACCCGCTGTCATCCAGATCGTTGACATCTAATTCGGAGAGATCAAGTTCCGGAAGGTCTGGACAGAGAGGCTGGTCTTCCCCAACTAAAGCAGCACACTAAGGGAGAAAAAAAGGAGAAAAACAAGAGAAATGGGATAAAATGGAGAAGAAGGGGAAGGGGAAGGGGGATGAGGAGGAGGAAGAGGAGGAGGAGGAGAAGAAGAAGAAGAAGAAGAAGAAGAAGAAGAGGAGGAGGAGGAGGAGGAGGAGGAGGAGGAGGA